CTACTGTTCCTAAACTAAATCTCAACCGTAAAAATAAAAATGTCAAAAATATTGCCCGTTCATTCCATCGCAACCCTTGGGATTCCTACGTGCACCCTTACTGTTCTCTCATATTTATATAATTTGTGCACTCAAAATTATCGTAAACTCCTTCCTCTCGCTTACGAAGTCCCTCGTGAGAAACGAACCCAGCAGCTCGGTCCCGATAGTTGTTTTTTATCAGCCTTCACGTTGCAATTATCTAGCCCTCACTCCACCATCTCATATCTCCTCCCATAAACTCTCCACACAGCATTATCGTTGTTGCTTCAGTCTATGCTAGATTATTATTTAGCCAAAAGTTTAAATCCTTTCCTAATGTCTGATTATGTAACTGGCATGTTTCTGCTCTTTCTCCTATTCTTCTTTATCTGTTTCTTCTGTTTTCTGATATGATTTCTCTTTGAAATTGTTAATAGTTGCTCCTCCTGCTCGTTCCTCCTTTCACCCTTACAGAGATTGGCAAGTAATCACGATTTCAATAAAAAAATATTTTATTTCTTCTACTATTGATTTCATTTGGAGAAAGTTTCTAACAACTCACAAAAAAAGTATTTCTCTCTATTTTTGATCTTCACATATGAATCTAGATTATGACTTATGAGCTAGAGGTAATGCACATTTCTCCCATTGAGAAGACTGAACAAATGCTAATTTTTGTTTTATTGAGGTTTCCCCTTTCTTAAAAGGAAGCTAATGCTCTTTTTCTAACATTTACTAAAATTGAGGGAGGCATCATCCATGAATATTTTGATGGCCGTAAGGGCATAATTAAGTTTGAAGATGTTCATGTTTGTAATATAACTATTAGAGAAACTAAAGTAATAAAATAAAATAATAATAATAATAATAATAATAAAGCTTTGAATTTACCCCAATTAAATGTGAGATTATTGATATATTCTTCTCTATTATTTCAACATTTCATCTTCAGTGGATGATCATAGAAAGATGAATTGTTAATGCTGGAAAGCCAATTTGTAACAACGCTAATAAAAAATTCTAACTTAGACTTTGTTTGTGACAGCTTTTTTATTGCTTTCTAAAATAGAGTTTTAGTACAAAAATAAAAAAAAAATTGTACTAAAACTCTGTTTTAGAAAGCAATAAAAAAGGCGTCCCAAACGAACCCTTAATCAAAATTTTTAGGTATCTCATATCTGAATTTTGATATTTATTTATACAATACCTAAATATTAAATAATTTTAAAATTTCCATTAAACCTCACTTTTGGATATGCCTCTTTATATAAAATAAATAAATGAGATACAATTATCACTCAAGCTCATAATTATTATTATTAATTATTTAATTATAAATATTTATTATTTGATTAATAAAATTCTATAACTCTTAATTTTATATGAATTAATAATATGGTTATAAAAAATAATGAATTATTATTATTAATTATTTAATTATAAATATTTATTATTTGATTAATAAAATTCTATAACTCTTAATTTTATATGAATTAATAATATGGTTATAAAAAATAATGAATACTTTTCACAAATTTCTCACATTTTAATTATGTTGGTAGATGGCTATCTTCCATGAGATTTGCCCTCCAATATCACACAAAGAGCTCCTCGTCTACCCGCACTCCAACGCCGTCATTCAGTGTAGAGAGTCATTTGTATTTGTATGTATTATAGAATCGAGACAACGTTGCCCCTACGCTTCTTCTTCTTCTTCTTTGTTCTCGATCGGAAGTAAGAAAAAGTAGGAGAAGACTGACGCTTTTTCTATTTCCAGTGATTTGATCTCCGGAGTCAGCCACGCTCCGGCGATCCTACTTCCTCGTAACGCAGGATGGTCTCAGCTAACCAAGAAATGGTGGTTTACTGCTTTGACACTCTTGTCACCCACTACAATGGTGAGCAGGCTCCGCTCCCGGCCTTCGAGGATGGGCAGCAGTAAGATTCGACTAATGCTTCTTTTGTTGATAATTTTTGTTGTGGATCCCTTCTGTATGGTGTTTTCGTTTGTGATAATTTGGTGTTCAGGAGTTCCAATTACCGATTTTGAGAAATGCTGTTCGATGACGATGAGATGTTCATGATTCTTATTACTGCTGCTGATGACTTTGTAATTCCGCCATAGAGTATTTTTCGAAGGATAGTCACCACGGCATCTTTATTTGAGGATGAAGGGGAAAAGTTTACCCTTTTTTCTTGTCAGTGGCTAGTACCGTGATATACTGCATGTATCAATTCCGATGTTGTGGCTTTGATTTCTTCATTTATGGTTTCATTATGCGGTGGAGTTTTATTTGAACTTATATTAAGGCTTTACTTTGCGGTGAGTACCTTGGATTTCTTAATAAAATTTTTAATTTGTTGTCTAGGTTATCTCATATGCTTTTTTTTTTTTTCATTGGGATCGTTATGTTTCTTTCCTCCTTTTATCATTTTAGCTGTGATCACTAAGAAGTGTATCTGTTGGCTGGTCTCCACTGATTGATTTTTAGCATATTTTTCTTGTTGAGAAATAGGGACTGTATAAATTTTTGAGTTATAGCAGAATTTTGGTGTAGAATAAGAAGCAATTTGGGAGTGTTTTGGTGTAGTTTGGGGAGATGCAACAACGGAATAAAGTCTATGAAACTGTATAAATTGTTGAGTTATAGCAGATTTTTTTCCAACTTGGATTGATAGACGATGGTTGTAGACTGTAGAATAAGACTGAAGCAGGTGATGATGCGATTATGTGAGCACAGCGTTTGCAATTTGTGCTGCCATTTGTAGCAGGAATCCATGTTCCTTGAATGTATGTCCAAATCATGAAGAGATGAGAGATGAGTCCATTGAAGAACTTGCTTTCTGAGTTTAGCCCAGCAAGGATTGTATTTTGTTTTTGTTAAGGGAAAATGTAAAATTAGTTTTTTTTTTCTTATCATTATGAAATGAGTTCATGGAATGGCTTGTTATCTAAGTTGATTAACTCTATTAGGATTGAAATCTATTTTTTTCAAGAAGGGAAGTTGGAATTTTTTTCCTTCTTATGGTTGCAACTAATTTTGCTATGCAATTTCTATCATAACTGCGTCAACTTCTTGCTTTTCAACTAATAACAGTTGCGACATTATTAAACTACAACATTGGTGAGAGGGGTTGGCTGTCCTATTACTGGCCTCGTTTCATTCTGTTATTCATTATGTGCACTGATAAGAATCAGAGAATAGTTCAGTGTGCTTTCATTCCAATATGTACATAACTTATACAATCTTAAGATAGAATCTAATAGGAGACATATAATATCAAAGAATATACATAACTACAAATGATTCTAGTAGTCTCACGGATTGGGCTGGCATCAAAGATACTATAGATATATAAGTTGGCAATGTCAAGGAAGGAAGAGGGTGGAAGTTAGGGCAAAAGACTAGTGGGTTGTTTCCACATTCTCCCTTAAGCGAATGAATTGATGTCATACATTCCATACTTGCTTAATGATTTTGAAACTGCCTCTGATGATCCTTTTGTGAGTATGTACGCAAGTTGCTCACTTGTGGTTATGAATGGAGTATAGATTCAACCGAAATTAAGCTTCTTATTTATATAATATATATCAACTTCAGTATGCTTTATATGGTCATATTGTATGAGATTATGCGCAATATTGATGGATGATCTTGTATCATAATAGAGCCTTATAGGACATTTTCATTCAATTTTTAAATATTCAAGAATAATTTTCAGCCATAACAACTTATAGATTCCCAATGTCATAGATATAACTTTGACTTCTGTGTTAGATCTTGATACTATATTTTATTGTTTTCTCATCCAAGTCATGAGATTGCATGCTAAGAATGTGTAATATCCTCTTGTTGATCTCCTATCAACTATAAAAACCACATAATATGCATATGTACATGCTTCAAGGGTTTGATTCTCCCCCTTTTTGAATAGAATTTCCTTGTTAGGAGTTTCCTTCAATTATTGTAGAATTTTATTCATTGCCTTAAGATATGATTCTTTAAAATTTTGCATGAATTCACTCACTGGGTTGATGACTTAGGCAATGTTAGGAATAATATATGATAAGTAGAGTTTTTCCACAAGTCTTTGATAAGATGTTTTTCTATTATTGTATCTTATGGGCCATCTCCAAGTCTATAAGTGAATTTCATAGGAATGTTGAGAAGCTTGCATCCTGTTACGCCGGCCCAGGAGGGGCCGGCTGGACCGGTCCAGCCTGAACCGGTCCACTGTTACTCCAGGCGGAAAAACAGAGGGGGAGCGCGGGTTTGAGCGGAAACCAGAGGAAAGCCACGCGGCTTTGGGTGAGCTTAGGAGGGAAATTTTGAATGTTGGGGGCTGTTTTAGGAAGTTTATAATTGTCATTTGTCTTTAATTAGAAGTTATGGTGAGAATTAGCTCTCATCTTGAATTTGAATTATTTTGAGATCTAGGGTTTGGTGTTCTTGGGCTCTTGGCTTTGCCGGAGATCGTTGGAGAGTTTTTTCCTTCCTCTCGAATTGAAGGAAAGTTGTATCTTGCAAGTGCTTTTAATCCTCTATTGAAATAAAAGTGTTTGCTTTGTTTTCCTACGAGTTTCTATTGCGTTTCTTCCAATTTTCTCCGGTTTCCTGCTGTTTTCTGCTGTGGACAGCAGTTTGGCTGTTGAAGTTTCACCGATTTGGGTTAGGATTACTTGCGAACTCAAGTATTTCCTATCACATCCTAGCTTTCTTGTTTATTTCATCATGTTAGTTATGCATTTTTATTGTTATATAAAGATTTTATATGAGTGTGTCAACCTTAATATTGAGGAAAATATTTTAGCTTGTCGAATTCTTTGACTTTAAATCCTTGGAGCAATCTTTTTTTTTTTTTAAGGTTCTCGATTCTTTCTAAATCATTATTTGTCATGATTAAAATAGCGCAATTAGGTATTGAGGCTTTTTTTGTTTCGTGAGGCGAGACGTAAGCCTCAAGGCGTTTTGATGCGTGAGCCTCAAAATAAAAAATTGCGTTAAGTGCAAATAATTGTTAAAAGTTAATTTTTATATAATTCACAAATAATGATTAAATAATGTATGAAATATAATTGAAATACAAATATTACATAAGCAAAAAATTATGAAATATAGAAATTGCATAAAAATATCATATAACATTAAGTTCAACTCCAAATTCTTTCTTTCTAAGTTCCATACTCATCTACATTTAATTTCTAAGAAAGGCTGAAATAGTTGGCAACAACTAAAAAATCATATGTATTGTCATCACTGAGCGGATCTTTATTTGAGTCGTCATTATAACAAATTAGTTTCTCTCTTGTCTCATCCTGTGGAGTCCAATGCCTTCCAATAAATTTTTTCATTTATTTCAGGTATCTTCCTCTTTCATAAATGTTTTTCATCAACACAAAGATGAGATTAATACTCCAAAATTTTTAGAGGTGGTGGTGTGCAGCTTTCAAGTGATCATTGACGACGGCTATGACAGTGGTGGTTGTGGCAAATGTGACGGGCTAGAGGTTAAGGCAGTTGAGAGAAAGTTACTGGGACTCGGGGGTACACGAAGTGTGGTTTGTTCGAGGCTTTACTTGAGGCGTAAGCCTCACGCTAGTGAGGCGAGGCGTGCCTTAAGACGGGCCTCAACTAAGCTGAGGTGTAAGCCTCTTAAAATAAATTGAGGCGTAAGCCTCGAGATGTTTTTTATTGGAATTGCGCAAAGCCAGGCCTCAAGGCGAGCCTCATATTGCGCAATTTTAAACAATATTGTTGTTAACCTAAACTAGTAGTTCTGAGATCCCTAAAATTGCATATTTTACAAATACTGTATGATCTCTTTCATTTTATTTATATCTTATATTTAGTATCACCTCGGTGAACCTTTCGAACTAAGCCCTTGAAGTTTGTTTCTGCTTACATAATATCATTTTTTTATTTGCACATCTTTTGTTCTGTATTTATGCCAAATCATGATGGTATCTCCATATACATGTCCTCCTATGAGTCAAGATGTAATAAGGTTTTCTTAACATTAAAACGCTAGATTTTCCAGTTTATATGAGTTGCTAATGATCAACGTTCATTTTAACAACATGAACAAAGACCTCAAGTTAATCAATCCCTTATGTTTGAGTGTAGCTTTTGGCAACCAATCTAACTTTATACTTTTTAATGAACAGTCTTATTTGTACTTTACATTAAAGGCTCATTTACATCCCATTGTTTTTTTAACTTTTAGGTAATTCTACCAAATCCAATGTTTTTTTTTTGAAGAGCTATCATTTTCTTCTTCATAATATTATTCCAATTCTCATTATTTAATAGCTTAGAGACTAACTTGGGGATAGAAATAGTTTGTAGGCTACTAAGGAAGGTTTGAGATGGTTATATGATAAAAATATATGTAAATGTGTCAGCCTGTCAAGTGTTAGTTCTTATACCTTTCTTACTAAGACTCTTTTCAGTTGTAAGTTTAATAGTTCCTTTCATGGATTCAATGGTTGTGAGTGATTCAGTTGATTGGATTTGTGTATATTAAAGGATTGATGCATTACTTCTTCAGTGAACCTATGGCGACTTAGTAGAAAGTAGTTCAATTATATGCTTGGTTTGGGTAGGAATAAATAGTTTTAGGATAGAGTTGCTTGGTTGGATGAGTGGTAAGGAAGGGAAATTTAGGAGTAAAAATCAATTGTGAATGATATTTCTACTTTTGGATAAGTTATAATAAAGTGGTGTTCTGCTACATTAAAATTGACATCAATGGATGCATGTACTTTTTTAGTGGGGGGATGATAGCATTTGTATCATTTTGTTTTGGAGTTAGTCAATGAAGATACATTTAATTATATGTGGATCAAAATTATCTCTTTTTTAGGAATGTATTTTAACAAAGGCAACATGTTCAAATATTTTGGGAATAATTTTTTTTAAGGTGTAAAGTGAGAAAATAATTTGTTTAGGGCTTGTATAGGACTGTTGAACCCAATGACTCTTGTAGATAATTAGTTTATGATGTTTTCAACTGTTAAAACAATATCCTCTGATTTTTTTTTTGAAAAATGAGAGCTCTTATCATGACAAGTAGCTATTTAACTACATTTTTTTGGGTTATATATATACAATTTAACTCATATTTTCTTCTTTTTTTCTTGGAAGTATGAGGAGAGATAGTTGTTAAAATAGTCTCTAATATAGTCATATATGACTCTTTTAATTTTTACTTTGAATTATGATGCTCACATCATTTTTAAATTTTTGTGAAAAAATTCAACCTATATGGGTGCAAATATTGATAAAAGATACTAACTATTGAACCCCATAGATGTAGTTGTAGAGGATGGTCTTCAAAAGTTTCTATTAATGAGAGAAAAAAGCTGATACATTTGTGTTTAGCTAGTTAACAAACCTCAGTATGAAATTATTCAATAGTGATTGCTTTTAATAACGTAGGAAATATAGTTTTGAGAACAACAAATAATTGATGGAAAGATGTAGGTGTTGAAGTTAGATCATATATTTATTGAATTAAGTGATTTTGAAGGAAGATATAATATTGAAGGTTGTATGAAGCTTTTTTGATCATGATTTCCTCAAGGTGGGGGAGACCATCCTCTTTCTTTAGCAAGTCCAGTCATCCTACTTATATCATTTTCAAGAATAACACAAAATAAAGGATAAAAATACAATGTAGTGGTTACCGTCTCAAGTAAGTTTTTAAATGGATCAGAAGTTGGTAAATAATTTATGTATATAATGAATATTTCAGAATGTGAGGATTTGTTTATAATAATATCTCATTATCGACCACGGTCGTCAAGGATCCATTGATAATGATTATTTTGTGTTGCTAGGATGATGAGTATATGAAATAAATTTGTATGAGGAGCTGGTCATATGGTCTATAGCTCCTGAATCAATGAACCATGAGCTAGAGTGAGCATCTATGAGGCTTTAAATGGATGAAAAGAGGATGCAATACCATAAGTACTAGTTGTAGATATTCTTTTAAAAGGGATCCTAACAGGTTTTTCAAATTTTCTATTTATTCTTTGAGGATCTCAATATGTGACTATTTGACATTAACTTCTCCTAATGTGTTATGTATGCATTTATTTATTTTTTTGCCTACCCCCCTTGCATTCTCTAATTTTGGTTTGTGAATTTTCATGAATTTTTCAATATCTTTCCCTTGTATATCAAGCTTTTTAATAATATGCACACCATAAAATATTTTTATTGACCATTTTTGCTAGAGTTGGTTTCTTGTGGCCCTCAATAGGAAAGGGCTTTGAGTCGAAGTTTTTTATGTTGGTAACCTTTGATATTAAGGATAACCCCTTTTTGGGTTTATTCGTAATTTACTCTCCTACTTCTTCAGTTCGAATAACAGCGATAGCTTTATCTAGTTATGGTATATTCTCCTTTCTGAGAAAGTTTAACCCATAAGACATCAAAATTAACATTTAATTCAACAAGGAAATCATATATTCGGTCTTTTTCAGCAAACATTTTAAGAAGTCACATCTTTATTGCTCTCCATTTAGATGCATTGATAATGATACATCTCTGACCACTAGCTTTGTAATAGGTTGGAATACTCCATGATGGATCACCTTTATGTTTTGTGAATGAATATTGATTTTGAATACATGGATTTATGTACTATTTTATTATAGGTTTAATGTACCATATCTCATATTTCCTTTGTTGAATGGAGGAACATGCATGTATCACTTATCCATGGAATCATAGAGTTTCGAAACCAAGACATCACCAAAGAATCTTGCTCATTCCAAACCTCAAGCATAGATCACTTTGTTCAAATATAGTGCCAATTAAATGATATAATTTTTCTATTCGCTTCCAATTTAAGCGAACTGATTTTGTCCACTTCAGATAGCTTTTTCTTTCATTCATTTAGTATGTTGAGTGAATGTTTTGTAACTCTGTCAGATTTGAATTGCACCCCTCAATCCCAAAGGAACACGAGACAAAATGAATATGAGCATTTTTGTTGTTGTCCATGCGCAGGGAAATTGTCATAGTATGCGTTTACTGGAGTAGAAAAAAGAACATAAACTAGACTTGAAAGAACAAGCATATGCACTTGGAAAAAATTATAAAGATCTTCGATGCTATGACAAAGATTTAAGGTAGTTAAGTATTCATTCGTTGAAATATGTACATAATTTATACAATCTTAGAGGGCTTCTAACAAGAAACATGCAAAATTAAGAAATATAAATAATTACCCCTTAGATTGATGAACTAGCAACTAGGATCCCATGGATCCATGTGGTGATAGCATAAAGGAAGGAAGAAGGCGGAAGTTAGGGAGGAAGACGAGTGGGCTATTACCACTGATGCCATACTTAATATTTAAGAAATATAACCACTTCAAGGTTAAGAACTTTGACTTAGGGGTGCTTTATTTGTTATTAAAACTTTCACCAAGATGGTTTCAACGTGGCTCATGAAAATATTTAATCATTGAAGAAGTTAAATTTTGAATTATAGAGGATTTAAAGTATTTTTTAATGGAATCATGTTATGGACCTGATTTGAATCAATTAAATGTTTTTTCCATAGTTTATTTATTAATTTCCTTTAAAAAAAAATTAGTGCAGTATCTTTCATTTGAGCTTGTTGCAATAGTTAGCTAGTCTTAAACCTTATTTATATAAGGCTGACTACAACTAAATCCGTATTTTTATTGCTCATATCTTCATAATATAGTTCTTACAGAACATTAATCAAACCAAATAATTGTTTTTTTTTTCATTAATTCTGAAGCACCATGCTTGTTCATATTCTTTCACGAAATCTATCAATTGATTGCATATTCATGTATATTGATCTATCCATTATCCCATATGTTGAGCTGCCAAGGTAACAGAGTGATGGACCTTTTAGTTAAAATATGTTGCTATATGTGCTAGATGGTGACCCTTGGAATTTTAATTATTTCTTATTTAAATTGTTATAAAAATTCATATTGAAATCCTTATAACAAACACGTCATTTCAGCCCATTGTTTGTGACATGGAAGAAAGCAATTAATGGTGGCGAACCACGTTTGCGAGGATGCATTGGAACTTTAGAAGCTCGAGGATTGATCAGTGGTTTAAAGGATTATGCATTAACTAGGTATATAAGAACTTATATAACTTGTACACATCCCTGCAGCTTGTAAAATGATGCTCAATATTTGCACTTTGCCATATAATTGTGAAAATAGATGCTTGCAATCCAATGTTATTTGGTGCATGATACTTCCATCCATATTGAAAATATGTTTTGTTTCGCATTTGTCTGTTTTTTATTGCAATTTACCATTGTGCTTGCTTTGTAGGATGCTGATATCCTTTACAACTTTCCTTGTGCATAAAATCTGGTAGCTCTGGTTGTGTATACCATGGATTTATAACCTTATCTTTTGAGTCTAGGTGCGCATACTGATGCATAAAATAGTTGAACTTATGATGGAGTGAATAGTTAGTTTGAATCTTTAAAGAATTAGTGGTTGAATTGTTAAAATCATAATGAGCAAGTAGTACATTTTGATTTCTTAAAAGCATAATGAGCTAATAATATTAGATATTTACTTGTTGTGTATGCAAATCGTATATAGTAACTGGATTGCTTCTATGTTCTTGTTCACTGGTAGTGCATGCTGCTGTATTAATGGTTGACCAACAACTACTTTCCTTGAGGGATCAAGCTCAAGACCTGACTTGAGTACTTGAGCACCACGTCGAGAGCAGCAGTCGATGGTAGTAAAATTTCTTTCAACAATAGTTAAAAGGATCTAGTAAAATATTATCCAATAATTTTGGAAAGAGACGCAAATTATTCATCACAAATTTAAACATATATGACACAATTCATACTTATTCTCATTTGATTCTTTTCTTCTGCGCATAACTTTCTCTATTAGCCATCTCATTTATAAGAATTTTACCTGAAATATTTAATTTAATCGGTTGAGTTTTCATTATCAAATTCAATAGTTAATTATAATTAGATAATATAATAATAAATAAAAGAAATATTCATATTAGTTATGCTAATTAATTATTAAATCTTTCATTTAAGAGACATTAAACATGGGCATTGATAAGATAAAACATTATTTTACATGAAATATTCTTAGATACTATATTTTCCATATTATAATTTTTAATATGCGGTTTCTTTTAGGAGCACCGTCTAATATTACATCAATTAAGGCACAAATATTTCCATTTTCATTTCCTTTTTCAATCTTTTCCATTTTTTGTGCATGGATAGATTGCTTCTCCAGCCAGTACTATAAGAAGGTGAAGTGGTGAACACTTGTATTTGTATGCAAATACTTCTTCTTTTTAGTACATTCATTTCATTATCATTTTTTATTTTTTTTATTTAAATTCTACACATATTAGTTTTAGTGGGATGCTTTCACATTTAATATGTATAAAACTTTAATAAAAGATCATTTAATTCTTCCCTTTAAGGTACGAATCTTAGCGAGTATAACTATAATATATTATGCTAGTACATGCATTGATTCATAAAAAGAACATCAATTGCTATAAAATTAAAGTGTAATCACTCATCTCAATTCCTTTTTGAAAGTCAATTCTATTTCAACGCTTATTTAATCTTTAGTCGATTATTCCTTAGTTCACAACCTATGCATTATTTACACGTTCCGGTCCATTTACCTATTTAATTTAGAACTATGATTTCTTTAAAATTTTCTAATTAAATTAATGATAATCAATTTAGCTCTAACTTTAATTGTTAAGAGCACTCTTGCTTGCCTTTAACGCTAAAAGCATCAAATTGCGTCGAAGATAATGTTGGAGATATCAACGGTTGTCAAGGGCAACGTCGAAGATATCGAACGTTGTCAAGCCAACATCAAAGGTCAATGAATTATTAAATCACATTTCTTAATTATTTTTTTAATTTTATTCTATTTTAAAAGGATAAATGTCATTTAAATAAATTTCCTTTATTATGTTCAATTATTTTTCCTCTTCATCAAACGAGATCTCATAGTCATGTTTGTCGTCTTCTTTCTCCCTGTCAAATAAAATTGCACAAATCAATTCAATCAAATTAGAATCATAATCTTCTTTCTTTCTACAACAAACAGAAAATCCACTTTCTCCTTCATCTCTGTTTCTTTGACTCCACTGATCTAAATTTTCCTTAGTTCCAACTCCATTAATTAAGTTGGCATGACGTTTCTTCTTCTTCTTCGCCGGTTTTTGACTCCACCAAACAAGTAGAATGAACTCTTTTCCTTCTCATCTTAATTTCAACTCCACTGAACATCATGACTTGTCTTCTTCTTCTATGCCAACAACTAGGTTCGCACGAACTCCTTTTTTCCTTCGTCTATTACAACAACCATATTCACATGAACTCTTCTACCTCTAATTAAAGCCACCCTTGTATGTGAGGAGTTGTGTCTGTTCACTCATTGCGTTTGAACATACTAAATCGCTCTTACTTTCGCTTGATTAGGATTGTTCGAGTCAGTTTGTGATTGGCGCCAGCTATTAAATCAAGAAAGCAATAAATGTGATTCATTGTGCGGTATATCCGCTTGCTTTATCCAATGGCATAAAGTTAGATGTTCATCATAGTTATCATCATTACTATTAAGGGTAGGCTTTATGGATCTTCATTCTTCATACATTCTTGTTGAATGCTTCATAAGATGGTAAAATTATTCTGTACAAATTGTTTTATATAACTTCAAGCCAAGCTTAGGCCTTCCCCTTTCCTTCCTAGGCTTTCTACATGAATATAGACCCTTGTCTTATAGGTTCATCTTGTACCCTCCATTTTACTCATAAAAGTATCATTGATCTATTTTTTCTATCATCTTATTTCAATAGATGCTTCTAGTACCACTCGCTAATATAATAAGTTCTCATTCCATCCATCCTACTTCCACAGCAGCCATCTTAGCATTTTCATTTGTGCCATACTCAACTACAAAATGATTTTGTGAGTGTGATGTTCATATTGGTCTTGAAATAGGTTCTGTTTCTCTGCCTTAATTTGTCTTGCTTATTCACCCAATTTTGATCTGTTCGATGTTTGAGTGACTATTGTCTGTCACCTTCGCATGTTGCAATGTTGACAATTCTATCTAGTTTATATTATCTTGAAAATGTGCAACTTTCACTGGGTCGTACTTGATACGATCTCTTATGCACAAGCATTTATCGCTTATACTCATATTAGGACACTTAAACTTTGCATTTTAGGAGCATGGTATAGTAATTTTGTGCAGGACATAAAATAGTTATAGCTCACTATGAAGCTAGTTGTGGCATATGAGTAGCCTGTCCCACTCTTCTGCTTTTGTACCGTCCAAAACTTCTTAAAGCAAGGAGGGTGTGCAAGCTTGCCAGGAATCTTTTTGGTTAATTTTGAAGCAAAACCTGTGCCTTCTACGTTCTGAGAATGAATTTATCAACAACAGGGCTGACCGCCATTTTGTTATGATGTGTGATAAAGCTTATTTTTGGTAGAAATTCCATGCAATATTAAAGGATGTACTTTCATTCAGGAAAAGAAGAAGATAATTTAAATCCATGCTTAACGCATGACATTGAGTATAACCCTTTGTTTTCTTATTTACGATAGCAGTTGTGGTTTGTCAAATACCGTCCCAGCCATCCTAGTCGTCCCTTGGCTCTTGATCCTATGACCAGGATGGGGATCCGTGGGAAGCTCGTCTGGATCACACCGATCTCCTTCCATATTCGGGTGGTTGATTTAGGAAGGATTATATTAGGGAAATTATGCATGATTTTGTAGTTATTTGTTTCTTTAAGATGTCATGTGTAGATCTATAAATAGGGATAATTTTGTGTAATAAAATTAAGCATTTTTCTTTTTCAAACTCTCTGAATTTAACATGGTATCAGAGCAAGGAGTCGAGCTTGACGAATCTAAAGGCTAAGGAAGTGAAGGCCGACGGAGGTGGAGAGGGAGCAGAGCCAGAGAAGACAATGAAAGCTAATGGTCATAATATGTTAACCGGGCCGGCTCGTGAAGCTTCTTGCAACGGGAACTCGCAGACTCTATCGAAAGGGTCAGAAACAGCTAAGCCCACACCTTCACTTTTGGGGGGAATCTAGGGAGTCGGTAGCCGGTGAGAAGGAGAGCTGCGATGTGCAAAGCTTGGTTAGCCTATCGAGGTGCCGTCGGCGGAGAATGTGGAAAATGATTTCTAGTAGTAGCTGTGTAATCGAGGAGGCGGTGACAGACGCTGTCTCACTTGTCGCCGCCAACATCAACTACATCATTACTATTGAATTGTAACCTTTGGCTTCCTTTCGCGAGATCATCCGATCAAGCAAGTAGGGATCTGTTTTCTTGAGCCGGCTCGAGGCTCAGGAAAACACGAGATACCAGAGCATGATTAGGAGTCACGTGGATCTAGAAATCGTGTGTGCTAGGCTGGAGCAGAGTGGAACCAAATACTCCAGTGCGAATTTCTTCCGCGATCTCCTACTTCTATGCAACGTCATTGTCTTCATTCGCAAGGACTCGTCGGAATAAACAGTCGCCGTCCATTTACGACAGATGGTTTCTTAGGAAGTGACCACGATGTTGTCGAAGCCTGCTCATGAGAAAAAGGAGGCGCCAAAGGAGGCCTCACTACCACTTATGAAGATGGTTACTTAGTTAAAGATGGATTCAAATCTCAACAATTCACTTTCAAAAAAGAATTGGTCATCGGGTTTCCTAATTACTTGCTGAAAGCGTAGCTTCATCTCCAAGGCAGTAGCTGCCACCGAGGTAAAAGTGACTGGGAGGGCGGAGAGGGACCATGATTCAGATTTGGGTCAGAAGTGGGGACAAGCAGAGCAGCATGGATAAACCTAAGACAAAGGAGAGATCAAAGGTATTGGGAATGAGGGGCTTAAGGACTAACAAGAGCTATAACAGACTTGTTGGTTATGGTTTCAGGAACTCCAAGCAAGTTCCTGCGTCGAAGCCTTTGCCCAAATGCCAAGGAGACTATTGAAGCTTCAACGAAGGTAAAAAAGAAATTTGTGGCTACTCCATTTGACGTGACACCAAAGAAGAGGAACGCCACTAGTTTTCTTGATCGTTTGAGGAATTCATCTACG